CGCTGCAGTGAGGTGGTCTGCGTGTGCGTGTGTCTCCAGAATATGGCGTACGTCTAATTTGCTCGTGGATATGTGCGCTAGTAGTCCATCGGCACTCTGCGTACTCACATGCCCACTATTGCTGTCATAATCGAGCACTGGGTCTATCACCGCGGCTTGCAGTGTTCTAGGACAGTGCAGCACGTACGTCCATGTCGAACTGTCCTTATCGTAGAACGTCTGGGTTGTGGGTGTGTTGGCAGCTACATGCGTACGGAATGGCGGGGTTGGAGTGGCTGCAGCAGTACTTTGAAGTCTAATACCGCCTTTTATCCCACCAGCTACTTTCCAATTACGATTACGTATAATTTTCGCTATCATGGTCGAGTCACTAATCACGTCATTCACCGATAAACTTCTTGGTTGGTTACCATCAAAATTTAACCGAGTTTAATGTTATAGAGGAGAATGTCAAGCAATCTGTCAAGCTCTCTGCTAAGCTCTCGCCTCAGCCGCTCACTCAGGAAGCGTACAATGAACATAATACCTTCGTGGTTCGCTGTAACGATGGGGACTGGGATTCTTTCAATCCTGCTATTTAACTCACCTTACCAATTCAATGGCCTGCACGTAATAGCCGGCGTGATATTCGCCATTAACATCATCGTATTTGTTGTGTTACTGATATTTACTATACTCCGATACGCTATTTGGCCATCGCTGCTCCCACTGATGCTCACACACCCCGTCAACCTTTTTTTGGGGACGTTTCCAATGGGATTAGATACGCTGATTACAATGATTGTCAACTCTCTAGTCCCCCGATATGGTTACAACTACGTCTTACTAGCCTATGTGCTGTGGTATATCAGCGTTGCCATTTCAATAATCACCTGTATAGGTATTCCTTTTATTCAGATGAGCAGGCAGAACGTCGAAAATAGACAGATATTCGCGACTGCACTTCTACCCACCGTCAGTACAATAGTCGCAGCGTCTACAGGTGCTTCTGTGGCGAATGTCCTCCCAGACTCACAGGCTAGGATCACTATTGTCATTTCATACATCCTCTTAGGCATGGGACTGCCAATATCCGTACTCCTCATGGCTAATTACAGCTACAGACTCATCCTATTCAAGTTGCCCCAGCCTGCTTTCATTAGCTCGACCTTTATCACTATAGGGCCATGCGGGCAGTCTGCATATGCCATCCTCAAGCTGAGCAGCGATGTTAATATGCTTATCTCAAAAACAGGTCTTCCTTGACTCACCTGCCTCAGCTTCCCTATCGGCACCCTGGCCTTGTCTGCTCAAGAGCTGGGCAAGGAGATGGACTCAACAGGGATGAAAGTCGTCGGTACTATCCTGATGATGCTCTTGTTGATAATTTGGCTGCTTCTTTTTCCAGTGACTCTTTACTTCAGCGTCATTAAGGATTCTTGGTTCACTAGCCCGTGTCTGTCGGAAGTCGGTGGCCAGCCGCCTTCATTTGAGGAGGTTGACTTTATCAAGAACCGCAAGTATTGAACGAATATAGATATGTTTTATAGAATCAAAGCCAGGATGAGATTGTATGATGTAATGTATTTAATTTATTTTCCCTAATTTTTTTCACTGTCTTCTTATCGGGTGCTAAGAGGATGGGCAGGAATAAGCTCGATTCTGGCTGGAAAGGACGCCAGCAGAAGCAGTCTGAGGATTAGAAGCCTAACAATGATCTTAAGGGGGGCTATAAGAAGAACTTTAAGAAGGACAATAAGAATGACTCTAACCACTCAAGTAAACACGACAGAGGCTACAAAAACCACAGCAAGTCACATAGAAAGTCATCTCACGACCATGTCATCAAATGTGAGCTATTTGTTTTGATATTGAGTGAAATGCTCAAAACATTCTCAAGCTTAACAAGGCGTTACAGAAGCCTTCACGTTTAGAGCCTTTAGCGCCTCCAGCAACGGACAGCGAGCACGGTGAGGTGTTGACACGTCTCGACGTGTGCAAACCTTCACCAAAAGTGAGCGCTATAAACATCGAATAAACACAGCATGCTCATATGTATCAGACTATGCTCAAGCTTCTTCATCGCATCAAAGCTTTAGTCGTTCAGCTCCTCCCTCATCAAGTCGATATGGACGTGTTGAGGCAGCCAGAGGTGAAAAGCCAGATTATTAACAGTAACACTGTTTCAACGTTCATTGACGCCAGTGGCGATCTCAAAGATGCTCTCCCTTTTGCCCTTCTCAAGCTGAAACAATATTTCCAAAAGGAAGCTCTTCAAGATCAGTCCGATTACGACGAACATATGTGCAGATCAGTCGCTTCCGAGGTTCTTTCCCGATACGTCATGCATCGTGTAGACGCCCAAAAGCTACCGAAAGTCATGTCTCACCGTTTCCTCTACTTAGAGTCAGACGGTGACCTCAGTGCACCGCTGAGCGTGTTGGAACTGGCCATAGATCTTCACGCTACTTTTTTCCTCAGCTCAGATGAATCCCAGACGGCGGTAACGGCTTTGTGGAATGGCTCGTGGGTGCAGATACACACCGATACCAGTCAGAATCAGATAGAATACGTACCATATCACAAGACAGACGGTCACTCCCTCTTCCACCACTTTGATCCATCGAAAATCGCTGTACCCAAGTATCAGAACTACTTGAGGATCGTCATATGGGTTGTCTTTCTCGCTGTTTTTTCATTCTCCGTCCAATCCCCAACAGAACAACTTAACCCTAAGAAGAGATTTGACGAGTGGGAGTATGTCTTGTATGGCATGAGTATTAGTTTCTTGTTCGAAGAAGCTAATCGCATGTTCAAGAGCTTACGTATACGCGGCCTATCATCGGTTTTCAATTTCTGGACGATAGTCAATGTCATCACCTATGTTATACTCACTCTCTCATTCAATCTGAGGGTTGCTGGGATATACAGTGTGGATGAGAGTGACAAAGACAGACTACATATGCTCAGTTTTGAGATTCTCTCAATGGCTTCACCTCTAATTTGGATCAAGCTACTGCCAATTTTCGATCTCTTCCTGTATGTAGGCACGATGGAGCTTGTGATTATTCGGATGATCAGGCAGAGTTTAGTCTTCTTCTTGCTACTCGGTGTCGTTTTTGCAGGGCATGCTCAGGCGCTGTATGCATTAGATGCAGCTGACGGTGAGCAGGGCAGTTTCGCAAGTATATGCAAAATTCTACTCAGGAGTATATTCGGCGATGCAGACTTTGGTACAGTTGCAAATCAGGCACGATTCGGTCAGCCGTTTGGCGAGTTTATCTTCTACGCTTGGTGCTTCGTTACCATAATCATCCTCTTAAACGTACTTGTCGCGCTTTATGCCTCCAGCTATGAAGGTGTAACAGACGACGCCGTCAACGAGTTTATGGCCTTCTTCGCTGGGAAGACAGTCAGTATGATTCGTACACCTGATCACTTTGTCTATGTGGCGCCGTTTAATTTAATTGAAGATATCTTTGTCGCGCCTTTTGAATGGATAGTCACGAAAGAGACATACAGCAAGATCAACAGGGTAGTATTAAGTGTACTGTTTTTTATACCGCTTAGTATCATTGCAGCGCTAGAAGCTAATGATGTCTTTAGGCAGACGACTGTTTATAAAAATTTTATCGACACGCGTATTCCATTTATGGACGCGGACGTAGACGATTTAGATGAAGAGGATGAGGAGTATAAGATATGCAGACATAGGTTTGAAGATTTAAAGAAAAGGCTTGAGTAAGTGGCGAAATAGGTTAAAAAAGATATTAAGATGTGTAACTACAATCAAGTCATAAGAAATACATCTAATTAAAAAATTGTTAGTAATTTATACCTGAAATGCACTCCTTCTTGGTAATTCCAATCAGTTACCGTTGTATAGTACTCAAGGCTTATCGGCAAAGTTAGGCCAATAAGCTCATACAGTGTGAATAATATTGTCATCACTTGTATTACAAGAAAGAGTGCTCGTGTTTCAACTCACCTCGTTTACGTTGAAGAAAGGAGAGATTTCAGTGGATTTTGAGATTTTTAAAGACAAGGCATAACCCTAACAATGACAATTAAAAATCATGAGAATAATTTAATAGAGTCAAAGGCTTCAAATATTCAAGTGTAATTTCAAGTGAAATAGCTTCAGTCTTTGCACTAGAACTATCAAGATGGAAGATGATTTGTATCAAGACCCATACGCGATAAATAACAATGCTACAACTTTAAATACACAGTATACACAGCCTATACAGCATTCTCTGCCACCAGATGCCGCTGATGAATCAGCCAGGAAGATATTCATCGGTGGTCTCAATTGGGATACTACAGAGGAGAATCTGAGCAAATATTTTAGTAAATTTGGTCAAGTCGTACAGCTTAACATTATGAGAGATCCAAATACAAATAAATCGCGTGGTTTCGGTTTTCTCACTTTTGCTGATTTAGATAGCGTACAGCAGGTTATGATACGTGATCATTGGCTTGATGGCAAGCTTATTGATCCGAAGAGGAATATGCATAGACATGACAACCTCAAGCATAAGAAAATCTTTATCGGTGGTATTCCACTGACAATGCCCGTCGAGCAAGTGGTGGATGAATTTGGCGCTGTTTTTGGTACAATTACAGATGCTAACCTTATGTATGATAAGGAGACAGGTAGATCAAGAGGTTTTGGCTTTCTTACCTTTGAGAGTGAACAGCAGGCAGAAGATGCTGTAAAAGAAGGGCGATTTGATTTGGTTGGTAAATCCGTCGAAGTTAAGCGTGTTCAGACTAGGAATGAGAGGTCTGGTACTCAAGATGCCGGTAAGCAGTATCAGACTTCGATGTTCGGTGGTCCAACAAATAATCCATTCAATCCTCAAGCAATGGCTGCCATGTATCAACGCATGGGCTGGAATGCATTCGGTGGAGTGAGTGAGATTATTCAATGACTAAGAAAAACTCTAACTAGCCAATCAGATGGGTATGATGAACCCTATGATGATGGGTGGTATGGGCGGTATGGCAAACCCCATGATGCAGATGATGCAGCAGAATCCATCATCCACTACCGCAGCACCTTCAGAAGGTGCTAATCAGGATGAAGAATCTGCATACGGATCTTATGGTGGACCACTACAGCCCGGCTTGGGTCAGGTACCGAGACATAACGTCAATACACCAAAATCACAACCAGGACCTCAAAGATCAGCGCAGCGTACACAAAACACTTATAAGCCATATTAATATAACTAGTTGTACCAATATATTTTATTCTTTCATGTAAATCATCTTCAACTCGTTCAACCAACATCTAAGCAGATAATTATGTCAGATTTAGCGCAAACTGCTTATGCGGATGCACTGATTGTGAGTAAATGTTGATAAGCCTATAAAAGTAGCTCACATCGCCTAGAATGCACGCCCTGGTGATTCTGTAGCTGCACTCCAAAACCGTATAAAGAAAGCCGCAACGCTACAAGAAGAACTAGCAAACTTCTTTCAAGCCCGCGCATCAGCTGAACTGGCTTATGCAGCTTCACTTAATAAAATCACGCGCTCTAAGCCATTCATTTCGGATGTACAACTCCTGAGTCGATCAGGCTTAGGTGGAATCTGGGATAATCTACAGGATGAATTATTTCAGCTATCTGTTATACACGATAAATTCGCTAAGAAGATATCCGATCAAGTCGAGAAACCGCTGAGAATGGCGTCCCAACAAGGTGAATGGGGCAGCCTCCCAAGTTCAGATACAGCAATGAATAAACTCGTCAAGAGCATCGACGAGTCACAGAAGAGCGTTAATAAGGTACGTGAGGGTGTTACATTGGTGTACACACCACTTAAATCACTCACAGTTTCAACGTAAAGTTGATAACGCTGGTGGTAAAAAATCTGGCGCTGCAGGCTCACGACTCACTCAAGCTCAATCTACATACGCTAATGCTCAACAAAAATTCATTTCTAGCGCTCCTTCTTACTTCAACTCTTACCAAATTACAGATTCTAATAGACTTCAAGAATTACGCTCGATTTTCGTTAAATGGGAGACGATGCAGTCTGAATTGAACCAATCAAAGCAAAAAATCAATGAACATAACTTAGCTGAGTTACTTAATTGGTCTACAGATGATGATCAAAATGAGTACCTCACTCAACTTTCTTCTTTATTAGGTTTGAACTTAGGCGCTAACGACTCCCTCTCAGCCTCTACACAGGCTCATTCACCAAATACTCAATCTCAATCATTTGATCCTGTTCGTCCACTCAACAGCAGGAGTAGCTCCACTTTGAAAGAGAATGCCAGCGGCGTGCGCTCTTCAATCGCCAACACTTTCTTCAGTAGAAATAGATCCAAGTCAAACTCACGCGATAGTTATGTCGCTACAACTCAAGAAATTCCTCCTGTACCTGCGATGAGCAGTAATCCAAGACATTCATCCACAGTCGGTGACCTTGAAGCACTCGATCATCCAGCCGCACAATCTACCACTCAACTCGAGCCTGTAAGCGAGAATCTGATGGATGCCAATAACGAGGATCAAGGTACTACTGAGAAGGCTGTTGATCTCAATGGCACAAATGCCACAGATGCCACAGATGCTCCAGAGAAAGAAAACCCAGAAACATTAATGTCGACCTCCCCGCAACCAATCGAAACTTCACCGTCAACCGGTAATGATCAAGACGATAACGCGGCAATGTCCAAAGTTCGTCAGTCCCTTATCGCGTCTGCACCGGTTCAGCGTCGACCTACCACCATGCGTGGCAGGAGGGATGTCCGGAATACCATGTTTGTGAATGACGTACCTGACGATATGCCACTGGGTGAGGCGTTAAAGATGAGGGGAGCTGGACCGACAGGAGCGACAGGCACATCAGCATCACCAACATCACCAACATCACTAACTAATCCATTCGTAAGCGCAAACGCACCAGCTACCACCTCTCCACCATCTTTAAACCCTAAACCTTCAATTGAGGGTATAGCGACAGAGCGCACGATGAGCATGAGTAGCACTACGCCATCGCTTACGCCGTCCATCCAGAACAAATCCACCGTCGATCCATTCGAAGGCTCCGACGCGATGGTGGAGGGACTGAAGCCGGCCATTACTGAGAATGTAAATGTGCTGATGAAGGGCGGAGAAGTAGTCAAGGTAATGATCACAGGTGAGGTTAGCTTATGGTACAAACCGTCGTCTGTAAGTGTCGACACTCCAACATTCCGCCTTAGTGCGTTTGAGCAGCTCGAGAAAGTAGCTCCAAACCCCCAATACCTCGAACATATCGCAGACAGACACGGAGAATATAAGGTGAATCTCGACGCTTTGTCCAAGGTTGGAAAAGCATTGGTTCTCAAATATCAGCTATACATATCACAATCACAGCTCAAGAGCTACGTCCCAATGTTGGTTAATATGAAATGGAAACATGAGTTTAATACTCACTCAGCTATTGTCAATTACTCGCTTAATCAGGAGTCTAGTCTGATGAAGAAGGGTAAAGCATTAAACGGCGTGCAGCTGCTCATACCAATTAATGCAAAGAGTGTTCAATCTAAACCTCAAGGTATATACTCCCCAGAGAGGAAGAAAATGACTTGGATGTTGAACAACATCAATGATGGTAACTCTGATAAGATATTGGCTAGATTTGTCGTCGATGATGAGCAATATCAGCAACAACCCGCTCAATTGAAGTGGATAGTCGGAGGAGAGATCACTTCAGATGTCGATGTCGAACTTGAAAACATTGGCAGTGTATCTTCCACCATTAAAAACACTGTCAATGGCAAATATTTGATCAGCTAGGAGTGGGGCGTTTATCGTTATCATTTGACCTGTTCCGTAATCCTTCTTTGTTGCTGTTCTAGACATACCCTTTCCTTATACTCTCGCACACGTACACACACATACACTCACTCACTCACTCACTCACACTCATTTCTTGATATAAGTCTATACACTTTCTGTTTTGTACATACACCCAATTTGATATATATAGTGGAATTTAGATAATCTCTGCATAATTTTAAATAAGATATAGCGCTGTGTGTTGTAATAAATATGCAATGCAAGTCTATCAAAAAATTTGGTTTTCCTCTGTATACTTCAAAGAAACCAAGAAACATAGGCATGTGCTTCATATTACACCCCTTTAAATCGCTTGAATGTTGTACAAACCGTATGATCTTGCATTGACCCGTGAACGAGCCAATCTGTGTTCGTTGTTTGGGACTGATTGTGAAAAATTAGCAGTGGATATGAGCTATCAATAATCACGCACTTGGAAAGTCCTCACGAATGCCGATATTCACCCCCGATGAGTAGTATACCAGTGGTCTGAATCCAGGTTCTTCTTCCATCACTACGCTATTCCTAAATTTTGCAGTTAAAGCTTCCTTGCCTTGCACATTAGCATATGTCATTCCCATTCTCTTTTCACTGTGGTATACGTCCCTGCGTCATCATCTATCAGTACGTCATCGTCTTGGCGTAAGACACTCACCACTTATAATTGATACGCATCGATGCAAATTTATACAGTTCATCAACTGTCAAAAAACTGGAGCTGATCAGATTTCACGTCTCCTTTCACTCCATCTCACTCACTTGACGAACGCATATCCAACATTCGAACGCGACTTGAAATCCATGCGCAGGTAGAGAAAGTCAAATGATCTGGGCACGACATCTGAAATATATTTTTCAAGCTGATCAGTAGTGAGTCTGTTTGGAATATTCTGTATAGTCAAGTTTGTGGGTAATATGTCTCATAATAAAGCTCACGGACACACCTTGATCATAACAGTCGTACGGGTATCTTCGCCTCTTTCAATACGGCCGAGATCAATCTGGTTGCGTTCTGGGGTATGTGATCTTTGACTTTTCGCTGACTTGTATGAGCTTTCGTGAGCAACTGATGGAGCATGGATAGACGAGGGCAGTGACCTGGATGTACTAGAGATCAATTGCGGCTGGGCGGTGTCAGCTATGAACGACTGTCAAGCCCAACGCACACTAAATGAAGACAGATAAGACTGAGGATCGAGATTAGGTATGGCTCCTTCAAATGGCTGCAGCTTGCGTTCTTTGAATTTAGCAGCTTTGTTGCGTGCTGCTAACGATTCAAGCACCGAGTGATTCCATGTCTTCTCGACATCGTAACGCGATTGACCAAGCGCTTTGTCTGCTTCCATAGCATGACGAGTATCGTCGTACTCGATCTGGAGCAGCACTTGATCATTTTGCAGAAGAATGTGCTGGTATTTGGCTACTCTGCCAATCGTTTCGAGTAGATCCTATTGGCATTGAGCGAGGTGTTTAGCTCAAACAAATAACTCACAAGGACAGGTCGTTGGGCTTCTTTATGAAGGCGTACTGAGAGCTTTCCTGACGTCATTGAATTGATGTAGCGCTTGGCGTCGGTTGTCTGGGTATAAATTGAGCGAGTGATCGAGGCGGAATAAAAGTAAAACTCACTTCGTTAATCTCACTCTCAGTGCACAGCCTTGCCTTGAATTTGGATTCACCAAGGTCGACGAGCGCGTCGTGTGCATCGGAGTAAGTGAAGAAGGCGAGAATGACCTGCTTTGTGAGATTAAAGCCAAAGGCACACTAAATACACTCACAAACCCCTCTTTGGATAGATTTGATATATTGATCGCCTTCATATTTGTGAAATTCTGGCGAATGTGAGCTAAATCACGAGATTAATCACGACCAACGCTAAACAAAGACTGAACATTCTCTACAGAGAGATCACCGGAGAGAGAATCGACTCTCAAGAACCTTGATTGAAGCAATTCTGCTTCGCTTTGGAGGGATGTCTCGACTGTGCCATCGATAGAATTTGTGTGTGGGCAGCCTTCAGTGGTGTAGCTGAAGCGCATTGCCGATGCAGGTGATAAAGGGCTTTCTGCGGTGACAACATCACTAGAGTTGCCATCATCGTTACCGGAGAATGACCACCTCCTAAACGCCATACCCAAAGAAGCAATTTCTCTTGTAGACATTATAATAGCAACTGTTTAAATTTATCTTCAGCTTGGCATCGTGTAACGCGTATGTGTTAGCCCTACCAAGTTTATTCTCACTTCTTTATGTTTAAGTGAGTGTGTCGTTAGCCCAAAAATCCCTTTGTCGTGAAGTTGATTGCTTTAATTAAAGTTTCGAACGAGTGGGGGCGTTGAGTTGAGTGCGTGCAACTCGTGAAATTTTTGATATTCAAAGTGATTTGTTCAAATGAAAGATATTTAATTGATGGCTTCATACTCCTAGAAAGAGCTGATGCCGTTCTTCAATTCGGCTGAAAGTCTGGATCATTCGCCTTGTCGGCTGCAATTTCAATCCGTGTCGAAATGAATAGATTCCATGTGGCAAAGATACATAATGACTACATGCTCGATACAGTTGACTTCAGACCAAAAAACGACGACGTCAATGTAATGACTGAGCTTCTCAATATTCAAAATGCCAAAAAGATGTCCTCCCACCCAGAATCGAACTAGGAACCTCAAGATATGCCGGTTTGCCATTACAGTCTTGCGCTCTGCCAATTGAGCTATAGGAGGCTGTGACGTAAACTCGATCTATAATGTTCTAATTCCAAACTTATCAACCTTGGCACAAATAATTTCATTGATCCGTCCCAGCAATCCATTTTTGAGAATGCTATGATGAAAAGCGCCCTTCACCTTATCGTGATTATTAAAAGAAGTCTCGGACGCTTATCACGTACAAGTTTGTTACTAAAATTTTACTCACAGTGATTTCACATCTAAAGGAGATAATCACGAAAACTAGAGCGGTTAATCTTTCGAGTAGCGAGAATCTTTCTTGCTTTGTTTGGGACTACTCAGCTTTGTAAATCATTGAATCAGTTGTGACGCGGTGAAGTAGATCCACGTAATGAAGAGATGCATATTTTAGATCATTGTTATATTCGTGGGCGAGTAATCATTCAATCAATACAAAGTTCTGATTGATGCAACCGGTAAGATGAGCACCCATCATCATCGAATTGGCTGAAACTTGTCACACGGGCAGCCTTTTGATGGCTGCTAGCTAGATTTGATACTCAGGATATATAAATCTCGCACTCTAAATGGCTTTTCAATGTCAATGAGATCTTAACCATGTCTCTTCCATAATTATTTGAAATCTCGAAATGCACCTGGTGAAGCCAAAGTCCCGATTTATGAGTTGGGCTGACCCCCCATTTTCTTTGCGTAAAGTGCATCTGATAGGCTTGCAATGACCTGAAATGTCAATGGTTTTTTTCTTGGAGCCGCCATTGAGTCCTGTGGACGCGACTTGTCGGGATACGTATATCGTGTCTAGAAGGATGAGTATATTAAAGTTCCGGGTGCTTGAGATATCTATCAGCCAGGAATGTTTGTTTCTATCGACTAAGCACGCGAAAACCTTTATATATGTCCTTTAGCGTACTCCAGAGCGATGTCGGATTGCAACTTCCGAACAGCCCATAGGGCGCAAATGGAGACACATGAACACAATACTGGCGAGATATTGTAACGCCTATTCAGGACTATTTATGAAGCTTTTTTATTTGGAGATCATCAAAACTCGTAAATGCGCCGTCTGAGATGAGATAGGTGGTAGTCAAGAAATCCCACTAAGTGGATATTGGGCAGAGGATTGAGATGGGGATGTATTTGGAATGCTGGAAATGTTATGAAAATAATGGTGTTGCTAAAGTTTTCAAATTGTCAGTATATGGTTTCTCTGCGTTCGTCTTTGCACTTATTTGGCTATTTGCACAGTAATTGGAGTAGATATGATTCTTTCAACTGCTAATCATCTGCTTAATCCTATTTTTAGTAATTTAAGTATTAATTGCCATATTCAAACCACTCTGCCACTTCTGTCCGTCTTTCTACATCAGCCTATATGCAACGACAAAAGGCAGCGGCAGAGAATAAGTAGAGTCGTAGCTCTTTGATAACGCTACAATACTACGATGAGCAAAATATCGCAGAATTCTGCAAAAAAAAGCTGATCATACGACTGACATCATTGGAACCACACGGTTACGCCATCATATTCCTTCTTCGTATCCATCGTCATCAAAAGCAAAATGTTTTCAAAACTTGCGCTTAGAAATTTCAAAAGCTCAGCTCGCACACTAGCATCACGCAGCTCTGCGCCGCTCTCTCAGCGCACATTCGCAACGAACAGCAAGCTCCTCTCGGCGAACAGGGTATCGCACAACCCAACTTCCGACAACCCACAGCACGCGGCAGAGAATGCCAAGCAGGAGGCCAGCAAAGTAGCCCACGATGTGAGCGACTACATTTCAGGTGGTCAAGCGGCGCAATTGGGCAGTGAGCCGCACATGCACCCAACTATTGGAAAGGAATTCGAGACAATGACGCGAGGTCTGTACGTGAATATCCCACGCCCAGCCATCTTGTGGGGAGCCTTAGGTGTGTGATGCTCTATGACGTCATGGCGTTAAAGACTTAAAAAAGACGTATTTCTAACAAGAATCATTTAGGCGGTGTACCATACCTCGGTACAACAATCTCGCATGTTTATCTCAGCTCGCAGCTCTACAGCGCTAATATGGGCGTACCGGATATCGACATGGCCAGCGTGAGTCACCTGCTGTCGACTGTGGAGAACATCCAGATAGGGTATGGTGCAGCTATGCTGTCGTTCCTCGGCGCTATTCACTGGGGTATGGAGTTTGCAGAATTTGGCGGCAGACAGGGCAACCAGAGATACTTGATCGGTGTCGCACCTTTCGTCATCGCCGCTATGTCGACTGTGCCAGGCTGGCAGTTGGGCATGATCACCCAGTGGACTGGATTCGCTTACCAATGGGGCATGGACACTAAGTTGACGCAGAGGGGATGGACTCCGCACTGGTTCGCTGCGTACAGATTCTGGCTCACAGTCGCTGTTGGCTCACTCATCTTGCTCTCACTAGCAAGCTCAAACTACTTTACTCCAAGAGTTGGCTCGAACCTTGAAGAGAGAAGATTGCTGCAATCTCAAAAGACTGGCAAGCTTGCAGGATATACCAAGTCAGAATCAGGCTCAGAGATTGACGAGGACCCAACCGGCAACGTCTTTGGTGTGATCAAGAAGAAGGAATCTGGAGACAGCGAGGGTGAAGAAGAGGAGTAAATTGCTAATAAAGATTAAAATTTTGTAATGAGAAACGCCATATGAACAATTGTCATGTAACTCTAATGTTTTGCCAGATTATCTAATGCTTTGCCGGTTTAGCTCTGCCTAAAGTTAGCCATGTCAGTAAATCACGGTAACAACAGACTCACCCATCTACGAACATGTTCCTCGTCGCCGACGGCAACTGTACGACCATACCATCCATGCTCTTAGCGACGTGTACCTGGCATCCCAACCGGGAGCTTGAGTAAGGTTAGAATAGAACTGAACAAGGCATTTGAAACACACGTATCAGTCAATCCAAAAGCCAAATCGAGCATATCATTCTCATCGTCCGATGGTTCTTCGAGCTGGTCGAATACTTGAGGCTGTAGTATAACGTGACACGTTGAGCAAGCACAGCTGGCTTCACATGCGCCTGAGTTTGTCGTTGGATTAGACAGGGCCAAAAGTACACCAAGTACGCGGTACACACCTTCCAAATCCACATCCCATTCGTGTGCCAAATGCAAAAGATCGTCGCCTTCATGTGTTTCTATAGTTTTTATTGGATTCTTCTTTGAATCGACGAAATGAACTTTGATGCTGGGTCCATGTGAGACGGTGGCTGGGGAGTACAACGAGTAGAACGCACCCTTCCCCTTTTTTAGGCCTGACGATATCACCGTGGTATTTGGCTGTGTAGTGTCAGGAATACGCTCGATCTGATTGGCCTGTGATTGGCCTGTGGACTCAGACTGACTCAACGAAGTGGTAAATGGCCGCTGTACTCGAGGCAGTGGCAATAGACTCCTGCTTCTCGCTGTCAATCCAATTCCTCTCAGTCCTACTCTTAAATTTATGCTTTTCCTTATCATGATGATGGTGTGTGAGGAAGAAGACCATTTCGACGTGACGTAAGTAAATGCAATATTTGATTAAAATACAGTTTCTCTATATTTATGTGTTTGTGCTTATGTTTTATCTTCATATTTGTATGCCTATGTTTATGATGCAGTGCGCTAGGTACGCTGCTGATTACGCTTTGTCGGTGTCCACCACTGCGGTTCCCAATTCAATCTGCTATACTCGACCTCCTCATCTCCGAGCTCCGTTCCAAAATCGAAAACATTGATGAAAGTCTGTCCCGACATTTTATTCGACGCTGCAACGAGATAGCGATCAGATATTGCCACCTGCCAAATATGCATTAGGTTGCTCAGTATATCCTTCTTAAGTTTACCATCGCGCGCGTTCCACATCTTGAGCATCCCATCGCTACCAGAGATAATTTTCTGCTCGTCGTGGGCCATGCAGCTGATAGCGCTGTCGTGTCCATCGAGCACATGCTCACATTCGCCACTACGCAGATTCCATATCTTCAGATTCGAGTCAGCGCCGGCAGAGATGAGACTATTTGAGTTGAGACCGAGCAGCCCAACGAGACTAGAGTGACCTGAGGTACTATCAGAGACCTACAACTACTCGTTTAATACGCAGACACCCACCATCAAGCGATTGCAGCTGCTCGCCTTTGTCCGTCGACCACACCTTCACCGAGCCATCATAGCTTCCAGAGGCGCACCTATTGCGCGGAGCGTCGAGGACGACTTTGTAAACTGGGTGTGCAAGTGTGAGCATCAGTTTGAATCTACGAAATACCCCACTTACCCATGTCATTGTGTCCTCGCAGCACGTGCTGCACATTACCCGTTACAGTATCCCAAATCCTCACAGCTTGGTCAATGTTAGCTAGTCTCACTCAAAGCCATGTGCACCCACTAAAATCATAGCTGCCAGAGACAAGTGTCCGTCCGTCGCCAGCCACACTGCGCACGGCATTGGTGTGCCCCGAGAGCAACTTGAGCGGCCAAGGATTATCGCGCGCCCTTACGTCCCCATCATTGATCGTCCACGGCTCGTCTCTCGTTGGCGAGGGTAATCTCCAGATGCGTATTGTGAAATCTCGTGAACCACTAACGATAATAGGATAAGGCGGCTCATACTCCCTCGTAGATACGTTCCATTTGGGCATTATAATAGCCAGGCATCGAACAGTTGAGAAATGCCCCCAGAGGACATGCGTACATCGACCCGAGGGTATATCCCACACTCTAACGGTGCGGTCCGTAGCGCCGCTAACGAGAGTGTCACCGACATACTGTAATGCCCACACACCGCCAGTATGACCTCTCAATCTTTTTCTCAAACGACCAGTTTTAGTGCAGCTTATATCGATGCTTTTGTCGTCACCATCGGACGCTGTAACTATTTTGTCCGAATCGAACTGCAGACAAGTGACGACATTCTGGCCATGTCGTTCAAACTCTATTGAAGAACGCGGCTCGTTCTCAAACCAATTATTTCGAACGGCGTGTCTCTTTTTGAGGATATGCTTATATGGATGGCTTTTCCAAATGCTGGGTGATTTAGCCGGCGGTGTACTAGATTCGGAGCTGGCGACGGGAGGCGGAGTGAGAGGGGTACGCGAGGCGTGTGAGGGGTAAGTGGGTTGTGAACTGTGAGTGACTTGCGTTTTATGTATGCTATCCTGCTCCGCTTCTTCCAGACTGGCGCAGTGAGTGGTGCGATTGGCATGCTGATACGCTTCCTGGCGTTGAGCAACAAGGTGGTCCTCATCGCCGAACCACAAGTCGGATCGAATGCCAGCGCTCTTCCAAGCAGCACGGTCTTGATCGATAAGCCTGCGCCATGTCTTGGACACAGTCGCCGCACGGCCCAAATCGTCAATATCGAGCTGGTTGAGAATGAGCGAGGAAATTTCGAGCGGCAGATCAGCCACAAAATCTTTCTGTAGCGCTGGACTGATAAATTCGTGTACATTCCTTATCGCGGTTATGTCAGAAAGACGTAAGAGGTTGAGAAGTATATGCGACTGGGTGGCAGTGGATAGGGATGGGTATACGTTGAGTAGGTGGGGGAAAGAGAGAAGTACAGGGAGTGTGTTATTGTGAGTGTGGCTGCTAGTGTGACTGTGACTGTGATGCGCACCGCTGTCATCCCACTCAGAACTCCGTTCAAAGCGTGGTGGACTGGCCAGTGGACTGGGGAGGGGTGATCTGACGCTGCCGCTACTGCCAACAACACCAACGCCTTCATCGCGTAACTTCTTTTTCGGCGGACTGTCCATCGATCGCTGCCTGTGGACATCGTAGCTCTGGTAGCTCGCCGTATGGCCATTTGGGAGACTGAAATTGAAGCTGGCGACGCTCTCTGGTAGCTGGCTTGTACACAGCGGATACTGCTTCCGATTAAGCTGAAGGGGCTCAGAGCGAAGACTGTTGACAGGAATCTCAGGATAATCTATTATAGTCTTCTTTGTCGTAGTCACTATCTCCGTCTGGACCGTTGGCTCTAAATTTATGAAATGCTTTTCTGACATGACCGTTTGTCACTTAGACACACGGCTGTAAATCTAAATAGCATCCGGATAATTAATTTTCACTACCGCATCCGTAATCATCCGGTAAGCGTACCAGCAATTACTCTCTCACACATATACCAATTCCGGCGATTCCCTTTGATTAGCACGTATCGTCACAATGTCTTACGTCATTTTCACGTAAAAGTATTTGTATTCTTCATTAAAATGCTTTATTATATTTCTTTTGGCTTAATGCCTTGGTGGATATTCACTGTATGCAGGTGCAGGGGATTCATTCACTACTGTTAAGTGCGTACGCGAGTCAGTTGCCGAATTGACCGACGCCTCACTCAATTCTGACTCAAAGCTATCCATCCGCTGTGGCATTGGTCTGTCAAAGGCGTTTATTGGTCTGCTGAATGTATTCACCGTTGGCGTCGCTTCGTCTTCTTCATCGTTCAAGTTCACAGGCGAATAAACCCCTTGATTATTCCTCATGCTATCCAGTAGCGGTCTTTCATAACTTTCATCTACCTTGTGCAGCGATCCAGTCGAAATGCCAAAGTCATTATTATGTGCTTGCTCAGCCAATGTGTCCTTAGATTCTAAAATTGAAGGCATTCCACCTTTATTAAATGCTAAAGTCGGTCCTGTCGACTGATAGTAACTATACATACTCCCAGGTGTACCCGCACCCGTTCTATCAATGTTGTTTCCAGCAACTGCCGAATTAAGTGATCTGAAATCCCAATCCATCTCTCCGCGATCTCTAATCGGCAGCTCCTCCAGCTGTTCCTCTGTAACAGCCTCGAATTTAAGTCCATCCGATACGATCTCCTCCTTGAAGTTGTTCGATTTGTGCGTGAACTCTGGTAGCACTTGTTCAAGAAGATGAACATGTTTATCGTGAACTTGTATAGTAAACAGATCAGCATGAAGGGCTGCATGACCAAATCGTTTCGCAAGTCTCCCTCTATTCACGTCCGCGTTCTGGTTGTGCACTTTGCTCGTCGCCGCCTCTACACTGCCTGGTAAGTAGTAATAGAACTGCTTTGAGAACTTCCTGTTGAGCATGTACTTGAATACGATAACGGCAATAATTGGTGGGATCGCCGCTGCCCACTTTCCATAACCCCAACCCATCTTGAGGCCAAGCGATAGAAGAACAATGAGTTGCATCGCTATTAGCGAGAAGAGCATTCTGTTCATAATGACATTCCATATTCTTCCGCCTGTTTCAACCCCCGTCACGAAAACGTACATTAGTTGATATTTTTGAACAAATGCGCTAATCAGGAATATAATAAACGCAGCTGCAGCGACAAGAGGTGCAATTGGAGCATAAATCATTGCAACACTAGCCATGAAAAGCATTGAGGCGTAGTAAACTGCATATTCGAATGGAGGTGGACTAGTCCATTCCTAAGTTTACAGTGAGCATGTTTTCCTTTCAAAACCCAAAAAAAAAAAAGACTTACTTTGATATCTCTCGGTGTTCTACCAAACACATGCGTACGGATAAAGATAAAGATGAGATTGGTGAGTTGAGCGAGATCGAAGAATACCAAAAAACCTCTCATTGGGAACCACTTGAGCCAGAATGACGCCTGACTGACATAGGCGCTCTCTATATCTGAAGGAAGTGACTTTAAAGTCGCCGTTATCTCCGAAAGGCTGTTCTGGTCGTGCGCATGTGACACAATACTGCTGATAAGACGGAATGCAACACCGATCAGAGTGAAGATGAACAATTGAGAGATGATCAAGAAAGCAAATAAGCGTGCTATAACAGCTCTGTCTAATCTAGATTCTGTTGCTGCACCCTTATACTGCGTCAACTTTCTAATAATGATTGGTAAGTAGTATGCGAAAATACCGGCCACTATAGGCGGTAAAATACCAGCCATAACTGAGAACGTCCATGGTGACTTACTCTGCCAATCTCTCAAGCCCTCAAAGTAAACAGCTGTTGCAGATATGTTTGCGAGGAAGGATATGAAAACGAGTGGGATAGTGTTGAGGAAGCAAACGAAAGCCAAAAAGAGCCATCCCCACATCTTGGTAATCCCTGATGGAGGGTTGGTAAGATTGCTCCATATAATATCTCTTGGATTAGGTGCGAGTTCAATGTTTGTGCCGTTTGGGTGTTTGTTTCTGCACTTCTGAGCGACAACGTGTGCAGCTGGAATGGAGACCAGCGAAGCAAAGCCAAAGTTTTCAGCTTTTTTGAATTCGTGGTTATCTCTTGTAGCTTCAATTTGAGTTTCGTAACGCTTTATTTTATCAGTGTAGTACGTGATAGCATCAACCTGTTTTCCACCGAAACAAAGAAAACCACCAACTCTATGAAGAGGACGTGGTCTGTTCGCAATGGTGCCTTTCTTAAAGTATGTAGTGAGAGTCTGCTCGAGTTTCTTGACGGCATTGTTGTGTTTTTCTATAAATGTAGGTAATTTCCCAACCCTTCTTGAAACATGCGTAGAGCTGAATTCATACGGAACTTCAATCGAGCGTTTATTTTTCCTGGAGTTGAGAGCATTAGGGTCACTCTTGAGAATAGAGAGGAGACCGCGATCAGACATGAGTTTCTTCGGTAGATTTTGAATGAGGAGGGTTCTGGCATAGAGGCTTGTTTGGTACTCTTCAGATCTAAACCACTCCTTACGCAAAGTAACCATTTCGCGTGTATGTACCCAGATTCTCCAGAGAACGACAGCAACAATAAAGTAAGCAGCAGCGCAGTGAGCCCAGAGTACACGACCACTAACTGCGATGATAGTGGTAGCGTCTAGCCAAGTTCTATCAGCTTCATCGATGTATTTATAATTGTAGACGGTATTGATAGGGATCAGCGCGCCGCAACAGATAACAACGATACAGCCGAATACTTCGCAGAGCAAGCGCAGGAATCTAATAAAGGTGACTGCATCGAGACCAATCTTGTCAACCAATTGAGATTCCTTCATGGAGAACATGGGCTTCACCCAGCTAAACAAGCTGTCATTGAGTTTTGGGAGGTGTTTGACAGCGTCGAGAGACTGTTTAGCTTTGGGGGCATAAACAACCTTGTTGCGCGGTCGGAGAAGGGAGAATAGGAGTACGACGATGAGGGACACCGAGGTCATAACGGCGAACTGCAACCACACGGCAGAAGCGTCAACGTGCTTTGAGTTGTTGTATGTTCTGAGAGCATCCTCTGAGATGTCTGCGAAGTCGACCATAAGTGGGGGTTAAGCGTGAGGTGTCTGTGCTGTGATTGATTACAAGGGGACAATGGCCGTCTAGCGGTATAAATAGGCGGACGTGAATAATTTGATTTGGTGGTTAGTTTCAAGTCGCTCAAATCTAGCTGCGTGTATTTGTCTTAAATCATGGCCCAGTCCAGTCCTGAATTCTCGACTTAGACTTGTAACTGAATGTGACTCCAACGAAAGCGTCTGTGACAAGTTGATCATTAAAGAGGTAATACATCTGCTCTTTACAGTCCTCCTTGTACGAGATTATTCCTATCGCCGAATACCAGCAGTAACACCAAGAGCTCTAAACTTACGGGAGAATCAATTGCAATTACTGTCAGTAAAGAAAGCGTTTAGACACGCATATATCTTAGCATGGGAGTGATTAGTATTATATCAAATCAGTCTCCCGGAACTTTGGACAGCACAGGCTGAGCTATCCACTAGAACGCATAACATGGCAATGGCTAGCAATAACCATCCGATTTGGCTACTCTAGGCCGTTACTTAATCATAGCATCGCATTTTTCGCGAGTCTAATTGGGCTCTTGGCATAAGACTGCATTGCAGCAACGGCACACACAGTCGCTTCAAGTGAATTAAAGGTGCAAAATATAAATATAATCAACAATTATACTAAAAAGAACATTTCAGTACAAAATCAGTGCTCTCACAGCTCACACTGCATTGTGACTTTATGTATTACATTTTACAAAGGAGCTCCTTGGTCAGGCAGTCTCTCTATAGCGTATCGATGATTTACAATGTACATGAGCGGGATTCCCTTTGTGCTGGTGTGAGTGGAATAATTCACCTAAGCTCCTTACTCACAGGAACCTTTCTGACCCTCCTTCTAAGCTCTCTATCGCAAGTTGCGACGATATAACACTTGTGCGCTTGTATACGCTGTATTATACAGTCATCTGCGTATGTACCCTTGTGAGAGCAAGGAATACGCAAGAAACGTGGATCTTTCGCGACTCTGTGAGGTTGTGGGAGATGAGTGATAGCTCTATATAGCTACACAACAACGCTCACCTCAAAGCCATTCTATACTTTGTACCAAGTTTTTCCAACTCCGCGATAACGCAGTCAGAGACACAAGGGATGCCTGTTGAAGGAGTAAGAGGAGTGTTATGTATACACGCCTAGCAACTCACACTTTGCAAATAAGCAATCCATCATTCCCTGCACCAAATCGAGCTTATTCTGTAAGCTGAAGTTTATAACTGGTGAGGGGAGTAGTGAGTGGTGATCCACGGCATGAGAATGATTCCAGCCCACAATTTGTATCAATCAGTACGTGATAAGGCGGGGCTAGAGCTTCATTGTGACTAAAGAAGAGGGAATGTGAAAGCTGCGGACTGGGAAAGCGCAAGAAAGGCAAATAAGAATGATACTGTGTGTAGTGCTACCTACTCACGTATGCTTCACTTGCTTCTCCTCTCTCTCCTTCCTCTCCTTATCTTTCTTCTCCTGATTATGCTTGAGGCGTGGATCGCTGGGATTTATCATACGCTTAACTTGAGCGAAGTTCCTCGTCTTCTTTGCTTTACCCTGGAAATTGTGAGCGCGTGGCTGCGTCTATGAGCCTCACCCACCATCACCGTCGTTTGATAACAAGTTTTCTGTTTCTTCCGCCTACAATCAACAGCTCAGATACGCAAATAAAATGGAAAGACCTCTTCAGCCACCAACGCTATTCAAGCCCATTTCCTCAGTCCCCGTCACAGACGAGCAGGCTCAAATATTACTCAACGCCTTCCTCGACAACTACAAAGATCCTACGCCTACGAAAGCAGCTCTCGAGAGACTGAGAGCTGGTATGCTTGGTGAGGATGTTGAATACGACCAGTATGAGCAGGACGAGGTGCACGAGGACTATGACGCCGGGGGAATGGCCCAGTAATATCTACTCAATGTGTACGTGCCACATTACCCACTTTCCACCCCCATAACACCCATGCACAGCTATTCCAATGTATTTTTATGTAAATGTATTCCCCATATACACAGCTAGACTTGTCCTTGATTTGACTCAAATCGGCTCAAATTTTCACATCACTTTGAACGAAATAATTTGGATTTTAAGGTAAGTTTTGAAGCAGGGAATGGCGTAGTCTATCATGTCAGAATTCAGCCAGAAACTTAAAGCCCAGCTACTGCTATCCTTCACTGCGCTAAATTTAACGAAAGCTATCGTCTTCGCAACGCAATATATGGCCGACATGAGGTAGATGGGATGGGGCAAAAAGCAAAAGCACTCTAACACAGCCACTTAAGCCTCAAATTCTTTTACGGATGGGTCCCCTTGAACATCGTAAATCATCTCAAGTTGTCTCTGACTCCCAAATCAGCACTCGGGGTCTCACCAGAGCTATTTGGCTACTAAAGTGATTGAATTATGTTTTTAAAGGTTTGCTTTTTAGTTTTTTAGTCTTCTAATCACTGTTTAATTGACCCATTGAGTGGTGGAAAATTCTCACCAATTCAAACGAAGGAATGATTTGAGCGTTCGCTTATAAAGAAAATGCTTATGATAGAGGTGAAGGATATTAGCAAACATGTTGAAAAAATTCCTTCACTGCTTTCCTCCGAAATTCAGAGGCACGTTGGTAATAGTCTTTTTTATCAGCATATTTATAGCTAAAACGTGTATCTTGGATTACCTTATAAAGACGCTGTAAATTTAAGTGGTTTAGCTACTCGGAAATTGCTAACATATCCACCTACAGCATATATTTCATTACCGGTGAACACACGCTGGGTTTAACAGATTATGTCAGAATATTACTGTTTAAATCCAAATCAGAAATGGGTATCACTCCAGAGCAGCTCAGCTATCAAGATATCTAATATAGCTGCTTCTATTAATGTTGTTTTCACTTTTGTAGCAAAATACATACGTAACTCGTTGAGCAATTAATACAGCGGCTGAAGCTGATGATCTGTTTAGTTTTGCGGTGCTATAAATTTATCTCAATATATTTTATTCAATTCAGTACTAACCTTACAACTTATATCTATATTTGAGATAGTTGAGAATTTTCACCATTTCAACCGAAGGAATGAGCGCGATTTGAAGTAATTGCACAAATTGAAAACACAATAACATTCCACAAAGTACAAATTACACAGCACACATCAAACGACAACCCAATTACTAGCAGAGATGCAAACATTGACAGAAGTACCGGTGAAACCTTAAAGACTGATTATTAGATTGGAATATTCTTCGTGGCTTATAACGGTATCACTAAGATATGAATGGAAGTACCCGCGATATATACACACACACATCTAACACATTCTTCATGGACTATTTCAAAGCCACACCACCAGCAGATGCATGCAGCACCCGAAGAATAACTATTTTAATAAATGAGCAGTGAATGAATTTTTTGTAATAAAAATACAATTTATATTGTTTGTTTAGTTAAGGTTTGTCGCTACTTCTAATTAGTTTATCTACTCCTTCTTCTCCTCACCCTCTGGCTTCTGCTCGCCCTCGTTGGCCTGTCTGTTCTTGTAGACCTGTTCGAAGAGCTTAAGGGAAGCTTGTTGGGTCTCGTCGATTTGGTTCTTGATGTCTTCCGAAGAAGTTTCCTCACCGCTTTGTGCCTTTGTGCCAATTTCTCTGAGCTTGCCGACAGATTCTCTGACCTTGTTTGCCTCCTCTTCATTAATTTGAGAGGCGAATTCACTGAGTGCTTTCTCAGTGTCGGTGGCAATTGACTCGGCTCTGTTAGCCATCTCGATGACGTTTCTACGCTCCTTGTCGGCTTCAGCGAATTTCTCACTCTCTTCAACCATAGAGCTGATCTCCTTCTCGGAGAGACCAGATGATGATGAGATGGTCATAGATTGATCCTTGTTTGTAGCTCTGTCCTTGGCGTTGACGTGAACAATACCATCAGCATCAATGTCGAAAGTGATCTCAATCTGTGGGACACCCTTTGGTGCTGGAGGGATACCGACCAATTGGAAGTTGCCCAACATTTTGTTGTCTCTGACCAACTCTCTTTCACCCTGGTAGATCTTGACTTCGATGGCGCCTTGACCGTCAGCAGCGGTAGAGAAGACTTGAGACTTCTTGGTTGGGATGGTGGTGTTACGAGTAATGAGTCTGGTGAACACACCACCAAGAGTCTCGATACCAAGGGAAAGTGGGGTAACATCCAAAAGCAAGATATCAGTTACGTTACCAGCTAAGACACCACCCTGGATAGAAGCACCCATAGCAACAGCCTCATCTGGGTTGACACCCTTAGATGGGTCGCGACCGAAGGTACCCTTAACGGTTTCGTTGACCTTTGGCATTCTAGTCATACCACCGACCAAGATGACGTCGTTAATTTCTGATGACTTGACGCCTGCATCAGCGAGGGCCTTCTTGCATGGAGAGATGGTGCGCTCGACAAGTGGACCGACAATCTTCTCGAATTGAGAGCGGTTCATTTTGAGGTTAAGGTGCTTTGGACCAGAGGCGTCAGCAGTGATGTAAGGCAAGCTGACTTCGGTTTGTGAAGCGGAGGAAAGCTCAATCTTGGCCTTCTCGGCAGCCTCTCTGACACGCTGAACAGCCAATCTGTCCTTGGTGAGATCAACACCATCAGACTTCTTGAATTCACCAATGATGTGGTTGACGAGGGCGATATCAAAATCTTCACCACCAAGGTGAGTGTCACCGTTGGTGGACTTGACCTCAAAGACACCCTTTTGCATCTCGAGGATGGAGATATCGAAGGTACCACCACCTAAATCGTAGACAGCGATGACACCAGACTCTTCTTTCTCTAAACCGTAAGCGAGAGCAGCGGCGGTTGGCTCGTTAATGACACGCATGACCTCGAGACCAGCGATAGTACCGGCGTCCTTGGTGGCTTGACGTTGTGAGTCGTTGAAGTAGGCAGGAACGGTAATGACGGCGTGTTTAACTGGCTTGCCGAGGTAGTTGGCAGCGGTCTCCTTCATCTTCTCAACGACGAAAGCACCAATTTGGGAAGGCGAGAACTTCTGGCCACGGGCTTCAACCCAGGCGTCGCCGTTGGAGTGAGGAACGATCTTGTAAGGAACTTGGTCCAAATCGTTCTGAATTTCTTTGTCTGAGAATTTTCTACCGATCAGACGCTTAGTAGCGAAAAGCGTGTTCTCTGGGTTGACGACAGCCTGGCGCTTGGCAGGGACACCGACGAGTCTCTCGCCGTCCTTGGAGAAGGCAACGACGGAAGGCGTGGTGCGGCCACCCTCGGCGTTCTCGAGAACACGTGGGGTTTGTCCCTCCATGATACTGACACACGAGTTGGTTGTACCCAAGTCGATACCAGCCACTGGGCCAGTTGCGCGACCGTTGGATTGCAATCTGGTGGCGAGTTTCTGAGGCGGGTGAGTGGTGCGACAACCATGTGCAAATACACTCACAGGCGTGGCTACTGCCCTTGGGAATCTGCCAAATGTGCTTGAGCGGAGTGTGCGTGAGAGCATCGTTGTTTGAATGCAAGGAGTGCGAGTATCTCAGGCTCAGGTGAGAAGACGGCAACGGTAAAATTCAATTTGAAATTTATTTGACGGCGTGAGGGCGTGCAGGCGCCTGGATTGTATTCTCTATATTCATTATACCTATACCCACTCCCGCCACATTCTCGCAAACCTTCGTGAAGTTTCTGCGTCTGAATCAAGTTAAAATCTTCCAAAGGTGCATCAAGGGCATAAAAAGGCATTAATCATTTCATTACAAAACACACGCTCTCACAAAGACTGCACCATCCTCTCGTCTGCGCTGCTTGTCCCGATTACGACGCTCGTCAGTCCCTCCTCCGGTCTTCTCCACTGGCGTTTCTCGCTGTGCCACGTGCTGAGGTCGTACAGGCTGAGCGTGAACTCTGCGCTCTTAGTCTGGCCTGGTTCCAGCACTACCTTGTTGAAGTCACGCAGCACTAGCGGTGGCTCGCCGCTCTCGCGCGGGAATTGCAAGTAAAGCTGGACAATTTCACCTCCTAGCACATCCCCTGTGTTGGTCACATCCACTGTCACCTTGTATGCTGGCTCGTGGAGCCATTCTTGCACAGACGCGCCTAGCATGTCTGCGTCGTAATCCGCGTGCTCCTCCAGATCCTGGTCCTGCACGCCCTCAATCGACAGCCCAGACAGCTCGAAAGTCGTGTAGCTGAGTCCATGGCCGAATGGGAAACGCGGCTCAATGTTCTCCTGCTGGAAATGGCGATAGTCGACAAAGATTGACTCAGTGTAGTTGATCTGCGGGATCGGCGATGTGTCGTGGTAGACGACTTCAGTCTGGTGTTTTGAAGCGTGTTAGTTATCCGGGCGATTATACACGCGCGCACTCCGACTCACCCCGTAATCTTCGCGCTGCTTAGCCATCGTGAAGGGCAGCTTACCGGATGGGTTGAAGTAACCGAAGAGTACGTCCGTGATAGAGTTGCCGCTCTCCTGGCCCGGGAAACCAGCCCACAACACAGCCGTCACGTTCGGATGCTCGATCCACGCCTCGACGTCGAGCTGTCCTGGGGCATGTATGACCACGATAGTGTTTGCATTCTTCTCGGCCACACTCTTCACCACCTCGTCGCCGTTATTCCACGCAGTCAGATTGTTCCTGTCGCCCTGGTTGCCCTGCACTGTGAGATACCCCTCACCACTATCCGAATTGACGAAGACGAGTGCGGCGTCTTTACCGCTGACAACGCCCTCGAATACCTCATTGTTCACGTCCCAGTTGTTGAGCCAGTTGTCGACGCCGAACCCGTCCTGCGCGCCGCGCTCCTCGAGTGCCGCGAGCGGGTCGACGAGGTAGGGTAGTTTGACAGCGCCGCTTCCCCACCCCATAGCGAGGGTGCCGTCGACGCAAGCCTGGTCGACGCAGCCATTAGGTCCTTTAGCAGCAGGGCCAGCGTCATCGCCCACAACCGCGATCGCACCGAGGCTGTCGCCGTTGAGGGGGAGAGCGCCGTCGTTCTTCAAGAGCACCGTAGAAGCGGAACCAATCTCCTTAATAAGATCAGCGTGGTCGTGCGTCACGTCCTTCACAGGTCCATTTTCTCTACCTTTGCCGAAGAAATCAAAGTTGACTGGCGGGTACTCTCCCTCGTCTTGACCGAGCATAAACCACCCGGCCACAATACGCGTGGCCATATCGTCCACTCTCTCTTCAGGCACGGTGCCGTTCGCGACGGCCTCTGTGAGGTTCGCACCGAAGTAGCTCCAGCCGGAGTAGAAGGTAGAGTCACCGGGCATGCTCATGTCGAGTCCACCGAGTGCCGACGGTGTACCCGAGTACTGTGCCTGCCAATCCGACTGCACATACCCCTGGAATGCCAGCTCACGCTTAAGGAGTCCGTTAAGAAGGTAGCTGTTCTCGCACGCGTAAGACTGCAGTACGTGGTTATACGAGCACATAACCGACGCAACGCCCGCCTGTACAGCGCGGAGATATGGGTGAAGGTAGAGTTCATGCGCGGCGCGTTCATCCAAATTGGAGGAGGATGTGGTACGATAATGTTCTTGGTTGTTGGCCAAGTAGTGCTTAGCTGTGGCTTGTACACCGGCGCTCTGAAGCCCCGATACAGTCTTGGCACCCATCTCGCCTATGACATAGGGATCGGCACCGAAACCCTCCCAGTTGCGTCCGCCTGTTGGTGCGCGCGCGAGATCGATGGACGGGGAGAGGGCGACGTGCACCCCCTTCTCTTTAAACTCCACTCCCATAGCGTGTCCGCGAGCGCGTGCGAGGTTCTTGTCGAATGTGGCTGCCACATTGATGCCGGCAGGGAAAGCACTGGCACCGTCCACCTCTCGCACACCAAGCGGGCCATCCTGGAGACATATTCCGGGGAACACGTCGCGGATTGGTGCTATATTGCCTACACATGGCCCATTACTCCACCCCACTCCCGTTGTTAGGTTGACGCGCTCTTCGATGCTCAGCGAATACACCAGGTCGCGCGCTTTGCCGGTGGCGGATGCCCAGTCACCTACACCAGGAGTTTGGGGTGTGGGGAAAACGTCGGGGTGTGTGGGGAGATGCTCACTGTCTCCATTGAATGCTACCGGTTTCACCGTTGGTGGCTCCTCTCCTATGTCGGCAGGTGCATCGTTGTTAGCGGTAGGTGCATTTGGATTGGTTGCAGGTGCATCTGCACTTGTGTCTTGAGCTATAACACTCGCTAAAGCTGCTGCGAGTACTGCTAATCTTACTTTCATCGTATTCGTCAGCGCTAGTGATTGGTCAAAGCTGGAGGTGCTGGATAACAATGCTTTTATTCACTCCGTTCACATGCTCGTATTCATGCGCTTGCATATTCATCTTCATATTCACGCTTGGTTTTAGTGCGGAATGCGCTCGGGCACGTGAACATCTCCATCGGTTCGAACGTCTTGAGTGAATGCATGTAATAGTACATGTGGTGTAATGAGTGGGTATATCGTTATGCCATTTTGGAATGCCATAAAGTGGGTCGCGTGCTGTGAATAGTGAGACATGAAAAACTTCACCTCTACCACTGGGCCCGGAAATCAGCATCAGGATCGCCATCGGCATCTTCGTCATCATCTGAGCTGAGAACAACGGCTTTGGGCTTACGTGAGCGTTTGTTGGGGAAGGAGAAGGAGGAGTCAGGGATGGAGGGGCGTTTAAGTGGGTAGGGGTCTGGACGTGATTTGTTGGAGGGTGGAGAGGGAGAGCCTATTGTTTCAACGAATAGAGACGGGTCTATGGGGTGTTCTGGGTGTTCTGGGTGCTCTGAGTCAAAGAAAAGGCCACTGTTGAGATGTTTGTGAAGAGTGGCTGTAGATTCAGGGTGAGGATGTGAGGAGAGGGTGTAGTGGACATCGCTTAAAGAGAGACTGCGTGATTGAGAGTTATCGAGGGAGTCCTGGAGGATGTTTTTGAGGTAGAGAGCGAGAGAGGACTGGAGGTAGGGGATGCACTCGGGGTCCACACCGGAGAGGGAGTGGCTGGCAGACACGGCATTGAGCCTCGAGGCCAAGTTATCGGGCGATGGAAGCAACTTGGTCTCTGAGGATAGGGAAAAGTTGGAGTAGAGAGGGAGCGAGGGGAGAGCTTCAGCATGGTCACCGCCGCTGCCAACGAGCTTCTTAATGCGCTGTCTCTCTGGACCCGACAAAGAGCGTACAGCCTCAGATTCGAAGCCCAGGTGGAGCTGTGGCGGGGGAATATGATGGATAGGCTGCTTATTAAGGGAAGCATTATGAAGAATAGAGAGAATGAGATTGTTGTGTGAGTGTTCTGTGGCTGTTAGTGTATTTTCCAGCGCCTAAACTACACGTACTCAATGTCTCTGGCCAATTTTCACAAAACGAATGAAGCTGGTAGAGGTTGATGGCGCCTTGCAGGTATTGGTTGAATAGGCCCAAATACTCCTTATTACCAAGGAGGAGATTTAAATTTTTATCAGAATCCAATTTGTCCATCGATTAGCTGTTGTCTCTTCAAGGAAGAACGTAAAATATTTAAATGTCAAATCCATCAGATAATCCTGTGAATAACGCGTTTATATCTGGGTGTATCTATTAACATGCTTATCTAGATATTCGAACACCGTAGAGCTCACCTCTACGTCGGGAATCTATCTCCACGTGTCACCGAGTATATGCTCACTGAGGTGCGTCGACTTGCCCCGTTATTCCCCTCTAACACCCTCCCAGATCTTCGCTGTCGCTGGTCACGTGCAATCCGTGAAAATTATCCCCGACAGGAACTTCAGCCACGGTGGTTTGAACTACGGCTTCGTCGAGTACACAGACATGCGCGCTGCTGAAACCGCCCTTCAAACTTTAAACGGCAGAAAAATATTTGATACTGGTGCGTATTACCCTCCACACCCTCGCTCCACTCACTCGCCGTAGAAATACGCGTAAACTGGGCTTATCAGGGCAACAACAAGCAGGAAGACACCACCAACCACTTCCACGTATTTGTCGGTGACCTCTCCCCAGAAGTCAACGACGAGATTCTCTCCAAGGCTTTCTCCGGCTTCAAATCCATCTCAGACGCCAGAGTCATGTGGGACATGAATACCGGCAAGTCCCGCGGCTACGGCTTCCTCTCGTTTAGAGACAAGCCCGATGCCGAGTCTGCCATTTCCACTATGAACGGCGAGTGGCTCGGCAGCAGAGCCATCAGGGTCAACTGGGCCAATCAGAAGACCCAGACTGGCTCCCACCGCCTCAACGACCTCATGCCCACAATGAATGCCTTCAACGGCCCTCTCTCGTACGAGGCCGTCTTTCAGCAGACCCCTGCTTACAACACCACGGTGTATATCGGCAACCTCACCCCATACACCACCCAGGCTGATCTAGTTCCTATCTTCCAAGCATTCGGTTATATAATCGAGGTGCGTATGCAAGCTGACCGCGGCTTTGCTTTCGTCAAGATGGACTCCCACGAGAATGCCTCGATGGCGATTGTTCAGCTCCAAGGCACACTCATTCAAGGTCGTCCTATCAAGTGTTCCTGGGGCAGGGACAGAACGGCGAATGCAAACAATATGATGCAGCAGCAGAATGCACAGGCAGCAGCAGCAGCAGCCGCGGCAGCACAAGCAGCAGGTAGTGGTGGAGTAGATCCAACGCAGTTCAACGGCGCATATGGACAATTACCGATGTACAACCTGCCTCAGGTGCAGCCATACGGTGCTGCGCAGTTCGGCTACCCTCCTCAAGCTAACCCTGCTGCTGCTGCTGCTGCT